TTCCATTTTTGGATTAATGCACAATAGACGGAAAATACTTTGTCCAAATCAAATTCTAAAAAAGATAACTATTATTTAAGATGTTTCTACTGCCATCAGAAGCTTTATAATCAACAGCCGATAGTAGCCTCATTTACAATATTTTACACTACTTCAACACTAGGTTGCACTTCGGCTGTATAAACAGACTCCCTTATCTTTAGCTGAAGTGGACATCAGTACCAACACACTCATCACTGCCACGGCGAGTGAGGTCCACGGAGAGGCCGGGACTGATGAGCTGTGGCCTCAGTCTTAGATCAGTGTCCGGTCCATTGTGCCGATATGCTGCGACACACGCCCAGTATCTCCCTCGAAGCAGGCTCTTATCATGGCCCTGAACCAGCACGGTCTCTGCGGATGCCCTCAGCACTATGTCTGCAGAGCTGCACAGAGCCGGAGATGGATGCACTCCGAAATCTGCGGCTATTGTTCCGCTTCTATCTGCAGTCTGTGTAATCTGTGATAATGTTGAAGAACCGAGATGCTTTGTTCTGTCGATTGAGCCAAAAAAAGAAGGGGTTGGGGGTGATAGGAGTGTTAAATAAATAAGTATGTGTACCATAACCTGTACATCTTGTGACTGTGACGAGAGCTGCGTTCGACAGCCATCGCAGTATTCTCAGAGCTGATATTTTGATTAGAGGGAAGTGTGAGGTATCTATCATGTTGACATGTGTAGGCACACAACCTGACTATTGGCCCATTTACACATATTCATTCATCATCATTGGTCACAAACTGCATCGTTAAACACCTTCAGGCAAAATCGTATCAATCTTTATCAACTTTCATAGCTTGATAGAAAAAAAGATATATTCAGGCAGTATCGTAAATTTAATAAAAGCAATCGAAATCTGATGTTTCACTTCAAAAGCAGTGATGTTCCAAAAGATCTAAAAACAGCTAGAAGAGTCATGAATTGTGCTTGTATAGAAACACACCAAGACAAAAGGCGGTTAGATGTACACACTGTTTTTGTAATATCCTTATTTAAATAAAAATAAAAAACTGAAATCTGATTAACTGGTTGAGACTAATGACAGGGAATAATTGTTTGACATCAATGCAGTTAAAATCCAGAATAGTCTTCTTGGCAGACCCTTGTGGACATACTGTAAAGCAGCTTTACTCCATTGTGCGCACTCCTTTGTCTGAACTGCACTCTTTGAAGTAAATTAATGCTTCAGTTAAGGTGTTGTTTGTTTGTGGTTCCAACTTGCATGTTGTCTTGTCAAATTGTCTATAAGTTTGCTTTGTCTGAAAACACATCCGAATAACATTGAATATAGTCAAGTATCTGCAGTTAATCACTAACTCATCCTCATGACAACATAACTTTTGCACCTTATAGTAGTAGCAAGTTCCATCCATCCATTAATTTTCTTCCCTTTATCCCTTTATCCTTATTCTGGGTCTGGCGGGTGGCAGTCAGAGGTACCACCCAGTACACAGAGCACCAGCCCCTCACGGATCCTCCTGCAGGTGGGGAGTCCACGGAAGATGACTGCTCTGTCAGTGATTTCAATATAAGTCAAAAAATAAACAAATATATACCTTTTGGATGAGTTGGATAAAGCAAACATTTATTTGACTCACATGAACGCAAACAGGCGCGCACCTACACACACACAAACGCACACAGAATCACTCTCTCTCTGACCCTACGCCTGTCTCTCTCTATAAGCCACAGTCATTTGATCCTAATTATTTAATTTTGTATATTTCATTCAAATGGAAATAGTGTAATGTACAGTATATTTTAGTTCCTCATTTGTGCTGAGCAAGAAAGTCATTATCCATTGAAGTTCCCTGTATGTTCGTTAAGGAATAGACAAAAACAAAAAAACAGTACAGCTTTGCGATAGTGTTTTCCGTTTCACATGGTAACAACTTTCTGCACATTTCTTTTTAAACTTTACTAGCTTTGATCTCGTTAAAAGCTTAGCACTGGCTTTCACATGTTGTGCATTCACAGCACGCGAGGAGCTGTTCCGAAAAGCGCTCTGGAGAAGTCTCTCTAGACATGCCTTCATGAATAATAATACTTTCCACTTGATCACCCCACAGCTTAGATAGCCATCAGTCAACAATGCATCCCCCGTACAGCAAGTAGCAATCCGGGATGGTGGTGCAACTCCAACCACAAAAGTCAGCCTGGAACATTAGCTTGTTATTTACAGCCGGCAATAAGCTCTATAAAACCTTCCTTATGCCACGGTGTTGATGGATTCCCTGAGTGCATGTTACAGCCATCATCGGGACGCGAACAAGAGCCGCAAACAGAGGACATCAACAGCAAAGTAATCCTGCACTGTGGCATCATTTGGCACCGTCCCTTCGCCGCATCCATAACACCACAGAGCAGAGAGAGTGCAGCAGCAGCAACGCGAGTCGTATAAAACACCTCGGTCTACAGTGAGAAACTAAAAAACACATGGGACGCTATAAACAAATATGACCCCTAAAAGATCCAATCATAGTCTCTCACTTTCACGGTGCTGCGAAATGACTTGCAATAAACAGGGCGGGTGAAGTCAATGATACGGAGGGGTGGCAAAGTTGAAGAGATGTTTTGAAGATTAGAAAGAAAAGGAATGTTTTGAAAGATTTTTTGGTCTTACTTTCTCACAAAGGATGATAGATTATATCACGATAGAAAAGTGCAGATGATCTACTGATTAAAAAATAAATTCATATATTCAAACGGGCAGCACGGTGGAGTGGATAGCACTCCCGCCTCTCAGCAAGAAGGTCCAGGGTTTGAATCCCGGTAGGAACAGGGCCTTTCTGGGTGGAGTTTGCATGTTCTCCCCATGTCTGTATAAGTTTCCTTCGGGTACTCCGGTTTCCCCTACCACTAAAAACATGCACAATAGGTCTGGCATGCCCGCTCCCATCTCTGTGTGGAGTGAGTGCCCAAATGCCCAAAAATAACAATTGTAAACCGCTTTGTGACTCTGGTCTGTGAAAGACGGTATATAAATAAAGATTACTTACTTACTTACATACATTGAAGGGTTTCCTTTTTTTCTTAAGTTTAATGAATACATTAGGATCACAATACATCACCCTTGCAGATGCACTGGAACTGATCTGCGTTATCACCTGACCATGACAATATGGATTTGCAAGTGGGAATTTATACACATACATTGAATTTGAAGATAATTGAGAAAAAAAGAAAGATAAACAAAGTACAATAAAAGAAAAAAGAAAAAACTATTTTACTTTGATCTACACATACCTGATAATATACAAAACAAAAGGGTTTAATGTCATACTCTGGGTCAGAAAATCATTGTACACTATTGAGTCATGATTAAATACAATGGCTTTGAATAAGGCTTAACGTTTTAGAGCCTTCCCAAAGGCCTTCATGAGTAAAGGAGACTAAACATGTTCATTTTCCTGCCCGGGTACTAAGAAGGTAATGACTGCGACTGACAGTGAAGTCCTTGAAAGCAGTGGAAAGCTCAATCTGCAATCTCCAATTGGCTTTAGAGCTAAAATGTCCACTTCCATTTAAGCATTCATTGGAAGGGAATTGATATATTTTGTGCCTTGTAAAGGACAATTGACAATTTTGACTTTTGCAGGACTGGCCTAACAACTGCAATTTCATGTCATCAACTCTTGAGTGCTTACATTTCATCGTTGAACAATTAATCCAGGGCAAATGAGAAACTCACGTTCACATTGCTATTCGACAATCAACAAACAGGAAGGGAGGTGAAACAGAGGGTGAAATGAAGCACAGAACAGTCAATTACTATGCACTTCATGGTCCACATCATTCAGTTGAGGCAACTATCAATGTTTAAAACCTTGTATCGTGTCAAAAGTAAGAAACTATTGTCTGCTGACAAGTATGAATTGATTTATTTCAATGCATATTTGTATAGCCCTAAATCAGCCAGAATACTGAATTGCCAAAACAGTTTGAACACAGGAAATGCAATAATAAAGACATAGAAGCCATTGGTCCATAGGAAGCAGGATGTCCATGAATGTTTTCTTAAAAGCGAATAAATGACCCTAAATCAGCAATGAACATTTGATAATTAGTAAACAACATAAGCCCAAACAGTATGTGTGAGTCTTTAAGTTCTATCAATTAAAGCTTATCAAATGGGACAATCGGACAAAGAACTAATTATTACATTTATACATTTAGGAGGTAATAAGATAATATGCATATGATCCATATCTGTAAAAAAAATGTATCTGACTTAAACAAGTGAAGGTTACATCCCCAGGGTTTGATTATAATTTTGTAGCAGGGGAGCAAGATTTGGATGTTACGATGCGATGCATGTTCACAATTTGTTGAATTGGTCTATGCATTTCTGCATAGACCAATTAAACAGTCTACAGCCTATTTAAGCCCCGATTAGTCACAGCCAGGCTTTTAATTTGACATGCATGCTCTACACCGGCAGAGCGGCCGATCAAGCGGAGCAGCTGAATCTCATGTCTGTTACGGCCAATGGGCACCATGGCATCAATGAATACCTGCTTCTCACAGACACGCACTGCCTCACTGCTTCTTACATAAAGAGCATTCACTGAAACTAATTTTAAAAACGAAGGAAAAAAAATAATTAATGGCAGCCACAAATCAATTATGACCAGAAATACATGATGTGAGAGATCAATATACAATCAATGATCAACCAGAGCAAAAAAAGATCAGAAAAGGAAAATGCACAGAATAAAATCAGGACTCGTCAAACAACCGGATAAAAATAAGCACATACAAACAAGGCCAAACAAATTAGAACTTCAACTCCACACAAAACCACGCCAAATCCAAAGAGACGCAACTGAAACACTAGCTTGAAACCATTCACTGACTATACAAACAACTGTAAGTTCAACTGTTGTAATAACTATGAAGATAAACAGACTTTATCTTGAATACTGACACCCACACCACATTTTAAGAACCGCAGCCTTACCTTATCAAGATTCTGTTCGATCCAGGCCTTGACTGTGTCCAGGGCTATGTCGGCTGCAGGCTCATTGGGAAAACCTGGCAAAGAAACACGCACAAAACGTGTCAATAACAGGAGTATACAACATGCAGAAGGCAGGAGGCATGGGGAAGATAAAGCACACTGACAAACCATATCTCCACAGGTAAAAGCCTTATCTACTAAATCAATGGAAAGCAACTGTCTCCTGAAGCAGCTGTCGGATAAATGCAGGAGATTTGCAGTAACAGATGCACAAAGATGGAAAACATTTCAGTAAATAAGTGTACATAGAGCAACATCAGGCCACTCATCAGCTCTTGTAGAACTGCTCGGGTGGTGACTGCCACTGTTGCTTACGTGTAAATGAAGTGGTATAGACGTAAAGCTGCATCAACTTTGTGTACAGGTACACAAATAATGTTGTGTGAAAGGCTACTTACAGTGGGGCAAAAAAGTATTTAGTCAGCCACCAATTGTGCAAGTCTCCCACTTAAAATAATGACAAAGGTCTGTAATTTTAATCATAAGTACACTTCAACTGTGAGAGACAATGTGGGAAATCACATTTTAGGATTTTCAAAGAATTTATTTGTAAATGATGGTGGAAAATAAGTATTTGGTCAATAACAAAAAATCAACTCAATACTTTGTAATATAACCTTTGTTGGCAATAACAGAGGTCAAACGATTACTATAGGTCTTTACCAGGTTTGCACACACAGTAGGTGGTATTTTGGCCCATTCCTCCATGCAGATCTTCTCGAGAGCAGTGAACACAGATTTTCAATGGGGTTGAGGTCTGGAGACTGACTAGGCCACTCGTCCTATCTCCTTAGCAGAAAAACACCCCCATGCTTCACAGTAGGTATGGTGTTCTTGGGATGCAACTCTTTCTCCAACACGATGAGTTGAGTTTATACCAAACAGTTCTACTTTGGTTTCATCTGACCACATGACATTCTCCCAATCCTCTGCTGTATCATCCATGTGCTCTCTGGCAAACTTCAGACGGGCCTGGACATGCACTGGCTTCAGCAGGGGGACACGTCTGGCACTGCATGATTTGATTCCCTGTCGTCATAGTGTGTTACTGATGGTAACCTTTGTTGCTTTGGTCCCAGCTCTCTGCAGGTCATTCACCAGGTCCCCCCGTGTGGTTATGGGATTTTTGATCACCGTTCTCATGATCACTTTGACCCCACGGGATGAGATCTTTCGTGGAGCCCCAGATTGAGGGAGATTATCAGTGGTCTTGTATGTCTTCCATTTTCTGATAATTGCTCCCACAGTTGATTTGTTCACACCAAGCTGCTTGCCTATTGTAGATTCACTCTTCCCAGTCTGGTGCAGGTCTACAATTCTTTTCCTGGTGTCCTTCGACAGCGCTTTGGTCATGGCCATAGTGGAGTTTGGAGTCTGACTGTTTGAGGCTGTGGACAGGTGTCTTTTATACAGATAATGAGTTCAAACAGGTGACATTAATACAGGTAACGAGTGGAGGACAGAAGAGCTTCTTAAAGAAGAAGTTACAGGTCTGTGAGAGCCAGAGATCTTTGTTTGAAGTGACCAAATTATTATTTTCCAACATAATTTACAAATAAATTCTTAAAAAATCCTACAATGTGAATTCCTGGATTTATTTTTCACATTCTGTCTCTCACAGTTGAAGTGTACCTATGATCAAAATTACAGACCTCTGTCATTATTTTAAGTAAGTATTTAACAATCGGTGGCTGACTAAATACTTTTTTGCCCCACTGTATGTGTTGTATACAAGAATATATAGACACGTACATACATATTAAAACTAGGGCTGTCAAACTATTAAATTTTTTTTATTGAGTTAATTACAGCTAAAAAATGTATTAGTCATAATTAATCGCATTTCAAACTATAAGCAAAATTATGCCAGATTTCCCTGTAAATGGTTTTTTGTTCGAAAAGATAAATGACAACATATTAATTATTGTGCCTCTTGCTGGTGGCTTGTAGGATGGGTCGAGGAATGCAACCAACATGAACTGGTCAAGGGTCAAGGGAATAATTAGTAACCCCAGCTTTAATTTAGCAAGTTTAGTTGCGCTTTGGGAGGAGACACGGACACTTTCTGAGGCTCCATAGTTCAGCTTCAGAGGTGTATTTATTGCGTGCACAGGTTACGCAAAGACACATCAGGCAGAGAATAGTTCGGTGGCGTGTATGGTCTTGGATATGACCACGTTACGGCGGCGCCATTTGCTGTGTTGTTGTCAAACCGGCTTACGGCCGGTGGAGGTGAACCGCTGTCCAGAGCAGCTGCAGCTGCCCCGGGTCAGAACACTGCAGCCACGGAGGATGCGGAATCCCGTTTAGAGAGCACTGTTGCCATCTTACACACGCATGTGTCCGGGGCACTTCAGAGTGTTATTGTGGGATGCATGGGCGGGTCATACTGCACATACGATACACCATTTTTAAAAACGGGATTAAAGAAAAACATTAATTAACGTACGTTAACGCCATAATTTTTGTTTCAGTTCAGAATCATCATTAAGAGTGTTCTTTTCCAACTGATTGAAATCCATGTGGAAAAATAAAGCACTCAGATTAGTGCAGAGTAAGGCTTGCAGGTGCCCTGTCAGTCATCCTGTTTGACAGGTGAAAATTTCACTGAATACATTTGAGAGTCTCTCATTTTAGTTTGAAATATGCCTTTGTGAAAAAGCAGAATATTGAACAGTGTAATTTTATTCTCAGTTCTGCAGCCTACTATAAACACAGCTCATTGTACAGAACTGGCATTATTCAGTAAAGTATAATGCCAACTCAGGACCTCTTATACTGACTTAACACGACATATTGATCTCCACAGTACAGATTGCACTTGTATTAATTTTTAATAGGGCCAGCATAAGGAGAGTTCTGCTGATCCCGAGATCATTTGCTGCCACTGTAGAGAACTTCCCTGGCTTGACACTGTGAGCTATGAGTGAGAGTGAGCTATTGACTTAAAAAGCCCCTGGGCCAGGCCTGCTTTAGCGCCAGTGTATGTGCCATTACCAAAAGCGCTGACAATCTGCTCCCTGTCAGAGTCTAGTGTTTCAGTTGTCTTCCTTGTAGAGTAATTATTGTTGAGCGCGGCCTTTCAAGCCTTCACCAGACTACAGTATTCCCCTTACTTACAAATCTGTGCGCAGACTTCAAAACGCTTTTCTTCTTGGCATCTCCACTGAGTTCAAACCAGGTGACTTACAACCCATTTTACTCCACAGACTGGACATAAAGAGCGAACCATCTTTGTATCATAACCCATAACCCTTTAAGACACTAAAGGTTACGGTAAACACTGTCATTTTCCCTACGACAGAGTTCATGACCTCAATTTCAACTCCCACCGGCTCACAGAAGGGCCATGTCACAGATCCAAGTAGTTGGTCAAAGCAAACATTTTATCCAGAGTTTTTTTTTTTTTTGGGTCACTGCACTGTTTGAATACCCCGAGACCTTTCCAACAGACTAACAAATATAGCCCGTGTCCCCTCTCACCTCTGTATTGGATATAAAAGTGAAAAATCAAATCGCCTCAAAGACAAATCCATACAGTATTATTTCATCACACAATTGGGGCTGCGCCGTCAAAGCCACTGAATATAAATACTCTTAAATCAACTGCCTTCTCTGTCAAAATGTGTCTCCGCTTTCATCCATGCTACCTGCAGTTTCAGAGACTATTTCTGATGTCTCTGTCTTGTCCGTGTTGAACTTCTCCTCCTGCTTGGTGTTTGACAGCGGAGGCAGAGTAAGTCAGAAGGGGCTGGAGCGCTGCTGAGCCCTCCCTGAGCAGCTCGCCGAGTCGTGGGTGAACATATGTGAGATGAATACCAAGCCGCGCAATGACAGCCACGTCTACAGCTACTCGCTAGTGTCGAGAAGTTTGAAAGTGAGTCAAAGAAAGTGGTTCTCAAACATCGGTTGTTGGAGGGACGCAGGGTTCGTCGTCTGGTCTTTTTTGCAGTTGTGATGGTGTATAATCTGGAGGTATTCAAAAAGCTTATTTTGTCCGGGCGAGGACCAATTACAACTTTGTTTTTTCATACTTTACTCACGGTTAGGGGTTTAGGCATGTCTAGTTTTACTTTACTCAACCTTTGTCTGATCTCAGAGAATATTTGCACCCTTGGTAACTTGATTTGTTACACACCAACGGGGGGGGGTTGGGGGTTTAATGTAATTGTCTATGTGTTTGTTTGTGTAGGCAGGATTGCGCAAAAACTACATTACAGCAGATGGAACTTAAACTGTGTTGGTGGGATATTTGGATTTGGTTTTGTATTTCAAATTGTTTTTCTTATTTGCTTCCTTTGATTCATATAGATCGTGCATTTTGGTATGATTTGACATGAGGATGGTTAAAACATGGATAATTCAGTTCACTCTTGAGGTACACATGTATTGCTAACCTATAAGTCCGTTCCCTGATAAGTCTCCATTTTGTGATGCCACCTTATTTACAACTGAATTTGAGAAATATTTCATAATCCTCTAGTAGCCACAAAACTCTCCAAACTACTGGTCAGAGAGATAGCAAAGGTTCTTGTTCACAGCTCCCTGCCCTTCAAACAGCCATCCCCAGGAGCTGCAGCCCCCCTGGTGTAATCCAGGATGCCAAAGCCGCTCAGCGCTTGGTCAGCCAGCCTGCTTAGGTGTGTCTGTTGAATGCATTAAACCTTTTGCAGTTGTTATCACCTAAGACTTTGTTTCTCTTTGTTAAAGCTGCACACATTTGCAGGTGTACTCTCACTTCAGCTAGAAGGCAAACAGATGTGGCGCTGATGTGAAAGCTGCGGGAAAAAGAGGCTCCAGAGAGACAAGGCCAGCTGTTTAAAAGGAGCAGACACGTGGGAGAGGTGCCACAAAGGTAGGCATAAGTAAACGCAGATGAGAAGTACCCATTTCTTTGCACTCCCATATTATTCATGTGAGAATAATCTGTTCCTCTCGATTTTCGTCTACAAAAATCTAGAGGAACAGGGAAATGTAGAAAATATACAATGTGTGAAGCAAAAAGTAGTTCATG